CGCCGACCCCGGGAGCGCGAGCGGCTGTTGAGCAGCGTGAGCATCTGCGTGTGTGCGTGCGTGCGTGCCTGTGCGAGAGCGTGCGCACGCGCGGGTGCCTGCAGGTCCCGGGGCTGGCACCACGGCCTGGCGCTGCCCGGCCTCCGGCGCTGGCGCTCTACCCCTTGGGCTCACGCCACAGGCCCACGTTGGGCTTTTGGCTGGCTGGAGGAAAGAGGCTCACGGACTTCCCCGCCCGGGCTGGCTTGGGACCGCGGTCCACCAGTGCCTGGCTCTTGCGTTCTCTTCCTTCTCCCCTTCTTCCTCCTCTTTCTCCCCTCTTTTTTCCTTTTTTTAGGGGGGTGGTCACAGGACTTGAACTCAAGCATCAGTACCGTCCCTGAGCTTTTTCTGCTCAAGGCTAATGTTGAGCCACAGCACCACTTCTGGCTTTCTAGATTTTCCTGACCAGGCTGGCTTTGAACTGCAGTCCTTAGATCTCAGCCTCCTCATTAGCTAGGATTACAGGTGTACACCACTAGTGCCTAGCTTCTTTTCACCTTTTTGTGCTGGTACCGGGGCTTGAGTTCCATGTCTCAAGCTAGTTAATTGGAGGTGAAATCGCAGACTTTTTTGTCCCTGATGGATTTGAACCACAATACGCCAGGTCTCCACCTCCTGAGTAGGATTACAGATGTGAGCACCAGAGCCCTCTGCTTTTGTTGAGAGACAGGATCAGCACCTGACTTTGTTCCTGCTGAATGCCACTGTGAATCAAGAGGACAGGGCAGGGGCTGGGAAGGTGGCTCAGTGGTAGAGTGCTTACCTTGCATGCATAAGACCCTGGGTTTAATTCCTCAGCACCACATAAGCAGAAAACGCCAGAAGTGGTGCTGTGGCTCCTATGGTAGAGTGTTAACCTTTCAGCTGAAGAGCCCAGGGACAGTACCCGGGCCCAGAGTTCAGCCCCCACAACTGACAAAAAGAAAAAGACAGGGCAGAAGCCTGCCAGCTTTGGCCTCTGTCTCTAAGTCAAAATAGAGACCAGTGTGACCATCTGAGAGCCACGTGACCAGGAGTTCACGACTACCACCAGCCAACCAATGGGCAGGCTCCAGGAAACTGGTTGCAATTGGTGTATCCAAATGTGGGCAGAAACTGGGTCTTGCTATCTTGGATAGCTTCTCCCAGCATCAGTGGAGGAGGTGTTACTTCCCAGCAAGGAGTGGCCTGACCAGCCTCAGATACTTATTTGTGCTTTTAGAGTCTCAAGGTCGGGGGTGGGGAGGGGGATTTGGTGCTTCAAGCTTGCATTGTGTTGGAGTCAGACCAGCAGGTGCTTCTCAGGAACGGGCCTGGGAACTGGAGCGTGGTGGGAAGGCCACGCAGGGGCTGCGTGCGTGCCGCAGGTCAGCTCTCGCTGAGTCTCGTGTCCTTGGCAGGTGCCTGTGCGGCCAGCATGAAGCTGAAAAAGCAGGTGACAGTTTGTGGGGCTGCTATTTTCTGTGTGGCTGTGTTCTCACTGTACCTGATGCTGGATCGAGTCCAACACGATCCCACGCGACACCAGAACGGCGGGAACTTCCCCCGGGTGAGTGAGTGAGTGAGTGAGTCTCCTGCGCTCAGGCTGCTGCCCTGGAGGGGCATGTCAGCCCAGGACATGACTTTCTTTCTTTCTTGACTTTTCTTTCTTTCCTTTTTTTTCTCTCTCTCTCTCTTTTTCTTTTTTGTTGGTCATGGGGCTTGAACTCTGGGCCTGGGCGCTATCCCCCAGCTCTTCAGCGAGCACTCTTACCACCTGAACCACAGTGCCACTTCTAGTTTTCTGGTGGTTTATTGGAGAGCAGAGTCTCATGGACTTTCTTGTCCGGGCTGGCTTTGAACTGTAATCCTCAGATCTCAGCCTCCTGCTTAGGTGAAGGTAGAGCAAAATTATGATTAGGATTATAGCTGGGAGAATGGTTCAAATAGTGCCTACTTTTTGAGCATCTACAGTACTGTTGTGGTTAAGTTTAGTCATTAGTATAAGTGAAATAATGTATAGAAGTAGTGTGCTGATTAAGAAGACGATCATGAGGGTGTGGTCGTGGAACTAGTTACTTCTTTTGTAATAGGTAATGAGGCGTCTTGAAGTCCTATTTGAAGTCCATAAGCCATAAAGATATATAAGCTAGGATTACGGGTGTGAGCCACTGGCGCCCAGCTGAGAGTGTGTCTAAGACCTGACTTGTGGCTTTCTTGGGGGAAAGAGGTACACTGGGAATGGAACCCAGAGCACATGCTCCACCACTGAGCTATACCCCAGCCCCAACAGGAACTGGAAAGTAGTAATGTCAAAAAGAAAGCAGGAAGAAGAAACAGCTATGTGCATTGCTCTTGGCCTGAATTCTTGGCAGACATTGCTAATCGATTGTAGCATTCTTTCCCAGTAAGTCCCAGGGCAGGCTTCCTTAGTGCCGGGCTGTGGACAGGCAGCACAGGTCGTCAAGCACAGGCATGTGGGATGTGGAGAGAGACCGCATTCCACCCGTGCAGATCTGAGTCCTCGTTAGACCTGTGCGTGGAGCACGTGGTCAAGGAGGGAGCCGTCAGCCGTGGTGGGTGCTGAAGTCTCTGTGGCTTAGGGAGCTGTGGGTGACGGCTCTCTGGTGTCTCGGCAGAGTCAGATTTCTGTGCTGCAGAACCGCATCGAGCAGCTGGAGCAGCTGTTGGAGGAGAACCACGAAATCATCAGCCACATCAAGGACTCGGTGCTGGAGCTGACGGCCAATGCTGAAGGCCCGCCCGCCCTGCTGCCCTACCACACGGCCAATGGCTCCTGGGTGGTGCTCCCAGAGCCGCGGCCCAGCTTCCTCTCCATCTCCCCCCAGGACTGCCAGTTTGCTTTGGGGGGTAGGGGCCAGAAGGCAGAGCTTCAGGTGAGCCGCAGCGCCAGGCCGGCGGGGGAGCTGGGGTGCCCCCAGGGGGCACTGAGCGCCTTCCCTCCCGGCAGATGCTGGCGGTGTCAGAGGAGCTGCCGTACGACAACGTGGACGGTGGGGTGTGGAGGCAGGGCTTCGACATCTCCTACAGCCCCAGCGACTGGGACGCCGAGGACCTGCAGGTGTTTGTGGTGCCTCACTCGCACAACGACCCAGGTGAGGGCTGGCCGGAATCGGGCGTGGGGCTGGCCTTTGTACCGCCACCCACGAGGGGAGTGGAGGAAGACGGGCGTCCTCAGGGGACGGGTGTCGGCTCCCCAGGCTGGATCAAGACCTTCGACAAGTACTACACGGAGCAGACGCAGCACATCCTCAACGGCATGGTCTCCAAACTGCAGGAGGACCCGCGGCGGCGCTTCCTCTGGGCGGAAGTCTCCTTCTTCGCCAAGTGGTGGGGCAACATCAGTGCCCAAAAGAGAGCCGCCGTGAGAAGGTGGGCGGCTGTCAGGGAGGTGACTGGGGAGCCCTGGGGTGGCGGGAGCAGGTTGGAGCAGTCAGGGAGGTGAGGGGTGGGGGTTCAAATGTCACCAGTATTGAGAGAAATGGAAGTCGTCTGAGCAGGAGTGAAGAGGAAGTGTGGGCGTTTCTCCTGGGACCACCTGGGGTGCTGAGCAGGGCAGAACCATGTTGGGGTGCACTGGAGAGGAGGAGGGTGTATGTGCTCTTGGTCCTGGGTTGGGAGTCTCTGGCACTGTGGGGAGGGGGTGTCCCTGGCCCAGCCTCACCGCCAGGCTTCCCCTTCAGACTGGTGGGAAACGGGCAGCTGGAGATCGCAACGGGAGGCTGGGTGATGCCGGATGAGGCCAACTCGCACTACTTCGCGTTGATCGACCAGCTCATCGAGGGCCACCAGTGGCTGGAGAGGAACCTCGGTAGGTCGCGCCTCACCTCCAGGCTGAGTGCCGTGGCCAGGTGCTGTAAGGGGAACTGGCAGAGAATGGCCCACGTGAGCCGGTGCGCCTGGCGAGGCAGGGGCAGGGGTTCCCCACCCCCCAGGGGCCAGAGGGCTCAGGGCCTTGCGTCCTCCCAGGTGCCACCCCGCGCTCTGGCTGGGCGGTGGACCCCTTTGGATACAGCTCCACCATGCCTTACCTGCTGCGCCGCGCCAACCTGACCAGCATGCTGATCCAGAGGGTGCACTACGCCATCAAGAAGCGCTTTGCCGCCACCCACAGCCTGGAGTTCATGTGGAGGCAGACATGGGGTAAGGCCGGCGGGGGAGCGGCCGGGGCAGCGGGCCCTCGCTGGGGGAAGCAGGGAAGGATGCTGAAGGCAGGACCCCTGACTTGAGGGTGTCTCTCCTCCTGACTGGGAGGTACTTGGGTGCCCCATGTGCATCTCCTACGAGGGAGGCCCGCGTTCTGTCCCTCGGTTGCACGTTCTTCGCACAAGCGCGGCTGTTTATCAGAGACTGCACCCTTGCGGCCAGGCCCTGGCTCCCGAGCCTGCTCACAGTCCCGTTGTGTCTTCTGTAGACCCGGATTCCAGCACAGACATCCTGTGCCACATGATGCCCTTCTACAGCTACGATGTCCCCCACACCTGTGGCCCCGACCCCAAGATTTGCTGCCAGTTTGACTTCAAACGCCTTCCTGGGGGCCGCATCAACTGCCCATGGAAGGTCCCACCCCGGGCCATCACAGAGGCCAACGTGGCCGACAGGTACAGCTGGGTACATGCCGGCCCTTGTTGGGCATGCGTGGTGGTTCCGGTCCCTGGAGGAGTCAGGCGTCCTGGCCTCTAGGTGGGTGGCGCCATGTGGGGAAAGCTGACAGCAGAACAGGGCGGGCACAGGTGCTGAGCTCAGGGCCTCAGAGTCCTGGCAGGGGTACTTTAGTGTCTCCCTGGAAAACAGGACCGGCACTAGGGAACCGCTGTTCCCACCTTCATTTCCCTGGTGGGGGCATTTTCTGGTGTCTTAACAAGCTGCCACCGCCAGCTGGCAGCCAGCAGTGAGCGGCTCTGCCATGGCTTTGGGCTCACCAGCCTTCGCCTGGCCCCAGCAGCTGGGAGCGTCCTCAGTGGGCCGGAATCATGCCCAGATTCACGTGGTCCTGGCACGCAGCCTGTATCAGCACAGAGACGGCACCAACTCTAAAACCAGACCCCCCCCGCCCCCCACGGGGAGCTTAAATGTGCTGCTCAAGAATGACACAGCCAGCACTTTAAACATACAACAAGTTCGATTACGCCGGTGGCTCACGCCTGTAATCCTAGCTCCTCAGGAGGCTGAGATCTGAGGAAAACGCTTCAAAGCCAGCCGGGCAGCAGAGTCTCTGGGGACTGTTGCTTCCAATTAACCATCAAAAAGCCAGAAATGGAGCTGTAGCTCAGGTGGTAGAGCGCCAGCCTTGAGTGAAAAAACTGAGCAAGAGTTGGAGGCCTTGAGGTCAGGCCCCACTAGCGGCACTGGCCTGGCTTTTGTGTCAGAAGGCTTGGTCTCCTGCGTCTGAGCAGCGGGACAGACGGTGAAGAAAGTGACCCTTTGTTTCCAGAAGTACAAAGGCCCATTGCAGACAAGAACCTGGCGCTAAAGAACATGGCTAATCTCCAAAGCTGCTCTGGTCATTTAATCCTCCCTGACTCAGAATAGCCCAGACAAGGCCGGTGTTGCCTGCTGTGAGCGGGGTCTGGACTGCACCGGAGAGCGAGCTGGCCAGCACAGATCCACGTGCACCACTTCATAGGCAGAAAGGAAGCTGGGCACCAGTGCTCACACCTACAATCCTACCTATTCAGGAGGCTGAGATCAGAGGATTGAGGTTCAAAGCCAGCCCAGGCACAGAAGTCCCTATGATATTCTTACCTCCAATTAATCCCCCCCCCCAAACCTTCAAAACAAACACAAGAAAAGCATGAGCTCAGGAGGGAGAGGACCTGAGTGACACAGGACACCATAGTGACTGACCGCTATGTGACAGGCCACGCTGCCCCGTACGTGCGTCTCGCCCTCAGCCTGCCCCCCCTCCCCATGTCGGGCAGCTGGGCCAACTCAGGGCCACCCGCAGGTGGAGGAGGCCCTGCTGGGCCATGGGCAGCCCTGGGTCCCAGCAGGCCGTGTCTTCCCCGTGCAGGGCGGCGCTGCTCCTGGACCAGTACCGGAAGAAGTCCCAGCTGTTCCGCAGCAAGGTGCTGCTGGTGCCGCTGGGCGATGATTTCCGCTACGATAAGCCCCAGGAGTGGGACGCGCAGTTCCTCAACTACCAGCGCCTCTTCGACTTCCTCAACAGCAAGCCCGAGCTCCACGTGCAGGTGTGCGGGGTGCGGGGCGCCCCCTCCCCAACCTGCTCCTGTTCTGTCCCTTCTCTGTCCTGGCCCCGCACTGCTGGCCAGAGGGCCCGGGGCTGCGCTGACGGGGCTGGCGCCTGCAGGCTCAGTTCGGCACCCTCTCTGAGTACTTCGACGCGCTGTACAAGAGGACGGGCGTGGAGCCTGGGGCCCGGCCGCCCGACTTCCCCACGCTGAGCGGCGATTTCTTCTCCTATGCCGACCGAGAGGACCACTACTGGACGGGCTACTACACTTCTCGGCCTTTCTACAAGAGCTTGGACCGTGTCCTGGAAGGCCACCTGCGGTGAGGTCCTTTGCCTCCCTCCCCCCCCCCCCCCGTGCATCTCACAGGGAGGCCCCTCCCCCCCACCGTGCATCTCACAGGGAGGCCCCTCATCCCCCCACCATGCGTCTCACATGGAAGCCCCTCACACACACCAGGCACCCCGCGGGAAAGCCCCTCACACACACCGGGCACCCTGTAGGGAACTCCTTATATAGCTCATGGGGTGCGGCTGGATGGGTGGAAGCCCAGGCCGTGGGAAGGCAGAGGGAGGCCCTGGCCAGCATGGGTGGCCAAGGGCAGGGGTGGGCGCTCACTGGCCTCTGTGGGCAGGGGGGCAGAGATTCTTCACAGCCTGGCTGCGGCTCACGCCCGCCGCGCCGGGCTGGCCGGGCAGTACCCGCTCTCCGACTTCGCCCTCCTGACGGAAGCGCGGCGCACGCTCGGACTCTTCCAGCACCATGATGCCATCACCGGCACTGCCAAGGAAGCGGTGGTGGTGGACTACGGGGTCAGGTACGCGCTCCCTGTCGCCGGTGGGGGCCGGAGGGTAGGCCAGGACTGTCCATCCACTGTGTGCGTCTCCTCCCGCCCACTGCCCACCGCACACGCCCTCCTGCCCGCAGGCTGCTGCGCTCGCTGGTCGGCCTGAAGCAGGTCATCATGAACGCTGCTCACTACCTGGTGCTGGCAGACAAGGACACGTACCACGTTGACCCTGAGGCACCCTTCCTCCAAATGGTGGGTGCTGTGCTGTCCAGAGAGTTGCGGTCCTTCCCGGGTGGGAGGGTGGGAGGGAGAGCGCATGGCGGCTGGTGGACCGCCGCCAGCACCAGTGGGGCGGAGGAGGCCGAGCCCCTCACGGCCCCCCTCCTTGCCTGCTTGACTCCAGGATGACACCCGCCTAAGTCACGATGCCCTACCCGAGCGCACTGTGGTCCAGCTGGGCTCCTCCCCAAGGTGAGCCAGGCCGTGATGGGGTCACGGCTCCCGGGCTCCTGTCCCAGCGCCTGCCAGCCCCGCAGAGCCCGTCCTGGCGGCTGCCCCCGTGCAGCTCCCGGGTCAGCCCCACTTTGCCCACAGGTTCGTGGTGCTGTTTAACCCCCTGGAGCAGGAGCGGCTCAGTGTGGTGTCGGTGCTGGTGGACGCCCCCCGCGTGCGGGTCCTGACTGAGGAGGGCCAGCCGCTGGCCGCACAGATCAGTGCGCACTGGAGCTCCACCACCGACATGGTTCCCCACGTCTACCAGGTGAGCCCTGGTCTCTGCCTCATCCACGGCCTCTTGGGCGTTCCATGGGGAGGGGGATGCCTGGGGGAGGGGGCTGTCCCTAGGGCAGGGCAGGCTCCCGTTTAAGTCTGACTTTGAAGACAAGGTGAAGGTTAGTATGTGGATGACAGTGACGGTTCAGTAACAACCATTTACCACTTGTGTCTGTGAGATAGGTCTTTATGTTGCTTTGGCTGGTCTTGAATCCTAGGGTCAAGTGATCTTCCTGCCTCAGCTTCTCAACTAGCTGGGATTATAGGAATATTGTACAGCATTACAAATATTTGTTAATGGGCTGGGACTGTGGCTCAGTGGTAGAGCACTTGCCTTGCATGCCTGAGGCCCTGGGTTCGATTCTTCAGCACCACATAAGCCAAAAGCAAAAAGCCGGAAGTGGTGCTGTGGCTCAAGTGGTAGAGCGCTAGCCTTGAGCTGAAGAGCTGAGGGATAGCACCCAGGCCCAGAGTTCAGGCCCCACGACTGGACCCAAAAAACAAAACAAAACAAAAACCATAAATATTTGTTAGTGAGAGCTTGCTTTTGGGGGACATGGGGGGAGGGCAGTTCTGGAGTTTAAGCTCGGCTCCGTGCTTGCTAGGCAGGCGCTCCATTATTGAGCCACATCTGTGTCCCTTTTCATTCCACTTAGTTTTGAAGTAGGGCCTGCTGTTCGCTTGGGATGTGATCTTCCTGTTTATGCTTTCCACCATAGCTGGGGTGACAGGCATATACCACTATGTCCAGCTTCTATTGAGATGGAGTCTCATGAACTTTTTGCCTGGGCTGGCCTCAAACCTTGATCCTCCCAATCTCAGCCTCCCAAGTAACTAGGATTACGTGGGTGAGCCATCATATCCAGCTTTTAAATCTTCTGTTGTTTTGAGCAGGATCTTGATGCGCCCTCTGTGGCCAGGCTGGCCTTAAACTCGCCAAGCTCCTGAGTGCTGGAATGATAGGTGTACAACACCTCGCTGCTTCGTGGGAAGCATAGTGGGTGTCCCTCCACAGTTTTCCAGGCATCATTGAGACGATGACGTCTGCCCAGCCGGAAGGGCGCTTTCGGAGGAGGGGGTGGGCGGGGGTCTCAGCACAGGAACCCCAGGCCGCAAGTGGAGTTGCACTTGGCTGAAGCGTCTGTGCCTCACCCCTCCTCCCCATCCTCCCTCGCCCCTCCTCCCACCCCTCCTCCTCACCCCTCCTGTGCTTGCAGGTGTCTGTGCCCATGCGCCTGCCTGCGCTGGGCCTGGGCGTGCTGCAGCTGCAGCCGGACGTGGAGGGGCTGCACACGCTGCCCTCCTCCGTGCTCGTGTACCTGCACGGCCTGAAGCTGGCCGTCAGCCGGCACGACGCCTTCCCCGTCCGTGTCATGGACTCCAGCACCAGTGACTTTGCCATCAGCAACCGCTACATGCAGGTCTGGTTCTCAGGCCTCACCGGGCTCCTCAAGGTAAAGGGCCAGGGGCGGTGAGGGAGGGCCAGGGCGGGCTGGGCGGGGCATGCGCACCAGTAGGCTGTGCAGAACTGGCAGTGCCCAGGATGTGGGCCAACTCGGCTTCAAGCCAGCAGTGTTGGAAGCAGCTTTGTCATGGTTCCAGATTCCTGAGTTTGTCATCTGACAAATGGAAAAGATTGATTTTGGCTGAGTTTTGGAAGTTTTGGGACGTGATCAAGTAGAACCACTGTTTGGCTATGAAGTAAAGCCCCTCAGAGCCAGGCTACAGAAGAGAGAAAGGGATGGGGTTCTGCCTGCCTTTTCAACATGTGCCTCTAGGCAGCCTGAGACACCCTGCTAGGGTTCTGGGATGTGGCTTAATTAAGTACTAGAACCCTTACCTAGCAATTGCAAGTTCCTGAGTTCAGGCCTCAGTACCCTGAGTCCACTAGCTCTGCCTCTGCTAGGCACCGCCCCCACCAGGCCCTGCCCCCACGAGATCTACCTCTGCTAGGCCCCGCCTCTACCAGCTCCGCCTCTGCTAGGCCCCGCCCCCACCAACCCCCTTTCCCACCAGGCCCACCTCTGCTAGGCTTCTCCTCTCCTGGAGAATCCCCATCACCTCCCAGTACGTCACCTCCCAGTACGGCTCCTCTGGGAACCAGCCCTCAACGTGTGGGCCTTGAAGGACAAGGTTTGGCACTGGTTTTGGCACGTTGGGGAAGTGAGTTTGTGCCCTCCAGGGGGCAGGCCTGACATGCTGGTGTGGGGCCAGGGGTCAGGGCTGTGTTCTTCAACAGAGCATCCGAAGGGTGGATGAGGAGCAGGAACAGCGGGTGGACATGAAGTTCCTCGTGTACGGCACCCGCACATCCAAAGACAAGAGTGGGGCCTACCTCTTCCTGCCTGATGGCGAGGCCAAGGTACCTGAAAGACGTCCCCCCAGTCCTGGCAGCCTCCAGGGGCCTTTGTCTTTGCTGCCCCTAGGGGGTTGGTGGAATGTAACTCAAACTTTGGGTTTGGCCCCTCAGCCCGGGTTCCAGGCAGAGCCTCTGGGGAGAGCTCTCCTTGTCAGCTGGGCCCAGCCCTCTGCGCTGCCGTCTGTGCATGAGCTCAGGGCCCACCTGCTCTTTCTCCAGCCCTACACCCCCAAGAAGCCCCCTGTGCTGCGGGTGACAGAAGGTCCTTTCTTCTCGGAGGTAGTGACCAACTATGAGCATGTTCGCCAGGTCGTCAGGCTTTACAACCTGCCGGGTGAGCCCTGCGGGCGGGAGGAGGCTGCATGGGCTGTGTGCCGCAGGCCTCCTGTCTGCACACCGTCCCCAGAGGGTTCGTGCGGGACGGGCATCCTGGGAGGTGCGGAAGTGGGGGCAGGGCCCAGCTCAGCTCTGGCTCACCTCCCTCCTCCTGTGCCCGTGCCAGGGGTGGAGGGGCTGTCGCTGGATATGTCGTTCCTGGTGGACATCCGGGACTATGTGAACAAGGAGCTGGCCCTGCGCATCCACACGGACATTGAAAGCCAAGGCGCCTTCTTCACGGACCTCAATGGCTTCCAGGTGCCTGCTGGGCGAGGCCAGGCCCCAGGGCATCATGGGCACAGGGCCAGGGTAGAAGGTCGCCTGATGGAGAAGGGACTGTAGGAGGGAGGGGTGGGGGAGGGGGAGCTCCAGACTAGGGACCTGTCAAGGTCAAACGGGCCCAGATGCTCTTGACAGGTTTGTTGGCCTTGCGCTGTAGATCCAGCCCCGGCGGTACCTAAAGAAGCTGCCCCTGCAGGCCAATTTCTACCCCATGCCGGTCATGGCCTACATCCAGGACGCGCAGAAACGCCTCACACTGCACACGGCCCAGGCCCTGGGTGTCTCCAGCCTCGGTGACGGTGAGTGGTGATCTAGAGCCCCGCCCCCTACTGCCATCTGCCTCCTCTCTCCGGCCCCACCCCCTCCCTGCTTGGGGAAGGGTGGCGCTCCAGTGCGGGACTGGAAGCCTGTGTCCCCAGCAGGGCTGCCGCGAGCAGGGCTGTGTCCCCAGTGGAGGACTGTGGCTCCTGCCTGCGGGCCGCGTCCCTGCCTGCTCTTCTCCCCCGTTCCTCTGACGCTGTGTATTAAGTGGTGGTTTTTTTCTACGAGGGGCTCACTTTAGGATTTGGGGTGACGGTCTGTCATTGTTCAGGGCACTGAGAGGAGGACAGAAGTCCGGCAAGGGCCCGGTGCTGCGGCAGAGCCACGGGTGCATTCAGCGGCAGCTCTCAGTGTTACAGTACCCCCTCCCCCTCCTCCCTCCCCCTCC